AACTGTACAAAACATTGACAGCTAAGCTACTAATTTGCAAAGTATACCTGTATGTATGGAGTGATCGCTTTTTTGTGACCTTTATAATTTGGCCGGCTTATAGAAGAATTCCTGATATTTTTTTGCAGTCCGATAACTTTNCAGACAGACAGACAGAGTTACTTTCGCATTTATAATATTAGTTGGGATTTTGAAGACTGTACTACTACAATTTTATTTAAATTTAATGTTTTGTTTTGTTTATTTAAAGCCTATTTTGTCATTTTAAAATTGATTATTTTGTTTTAAGATACTGGGCAATTACTGTGCTTTGATGTGGGCAATTAGTGTAAGTAATGGGCAATGACTGTACTTTTTGGAGGATTTTAAATTTATTTCAATATTTTTTAAACTACGTAAGTTTTAACTAAAAACTATTAATATTCTGTTTAACAGTTTATTGAGTTATACGAAAAAAGTCATAAATGGTCGATAATTAAAATACTTTCTTTAATTTTTCGTCTCAATGTGTTTGAAATCTTTAAGTGGGCAATAGCTATACGGTTTACCCTACCTACCTACAAAATCGCCATTTTATATCATAGCGTACATAGAATAATTAATAAAGTTTTATATAATGTAGATAATATAAAATATATAGTCAGTAATATGCCTCATATTTTCAATAATTTCTCTGTAGCTTCATAATCTAGTTTTAATAGTAGGGTTTTTATAATTTTTTTGCATGTTATGTACGTTACATCTCGAATAGAAGTAAAAGCAGAATTAATTTTGTTAAACAGCCAAGGGCCCAGATAGGGTAAAAAATCGCGTGCGAACAAAGTTTTGAATTCCGGTACCTTAAAAACAGGAGGCACACGTCTCCTTGATATAATTGTAGGTTGTGGTAAACGATGTTGGTGTAGGATCGCAGCCTTTATGAACAACTGCCTTACCGTAAGTACCTCGAATTCCTGATAAAGTTTAGCCGTAGGATAACGGAAAGGTTTAAAATGTAGAACTTTAATAACGGCCCTCTGTGCACGCTCTATGTTGATGAGATTAGATTTTTTGGCTCCGCCCCATGCCACTATACCATAGGTTAACAGTGATTGGCACAATGAGTAATATACGGTTTTGATAGTGTTTGGGTCTTTTATATGTCTAATTTTTTTAAAGATACAGATTATTTTTCGAATTCTTTTCCCGAGCGTGTCAATATGGCTTTTCCAATTGAGATTACTGTCTATAGTTATGCCCAGGTATTTTATTGATGACACCGGAGAAAGTTTCCCACAGTGACATGAAGTGCGGTCGGTACAACTATGTGCAGTTATAGAGAGATTCGTTGGTTGAGTACTTATTGGCAAATACCTCGTTATCGTGCATATCCGCGTATCTCTTTCGTATTAATACAAGCATCTTCCCCAAATTATCCACTAAAGTGCAGATACGCCTCTGCGTCTATTCTTTGTAAATATTTTTTAACTATCCAAAGGTAGGCGATCTTACTGTTTAAACAGAAACTCTCATGGCATCTCATATAAAATCAACTTGGCGGTAAAGAATAGCGAATATTGAGCTCATATTCTATACTAAGACTGGTTGCACCACCTAACTTCAACGGTAACTATAACCTTTCCTCACAAAAATACTAAGGCTGGGTTGCACCATCTTACTTTAACTTTGACAAACGTCAAAAATCTGTCAAAATCCATACAAAAAGCACCGGTTATCGTCAAAGTTACGGTCAAAGTTAGGTGGTAGTGTGGTACAACTTAGCCTAAGTAAGTTGGTTACTTTTAATCCTGCTAGCATTATCCTAATAATGCTAGCAGGATTAAAAGGACCTATCCTAATTATTTCGCGATAACCACACAAAGAAAACTTAATGCATCGGAAAATGCGGAATGCACTCGCAAATATGGCGTCTGGATTTCCCGTACTTTACCGCCTAATTGCAGCCTGCATTCATCTCTTTGACCGCTGGTCATTTCTTAATTAAAAAGGTGGGTAATGGCGAAATGAGCGGCAGATCAAAGGGCGGCTCCCTTTCACCTCACGCCCATACGTTTGCTCTCGTTATTAGCTAATTAAAATAAGCCAATGCGTGATACTGCTCTTGAAAGGCGTAATCAAGGTTGATTGGTCCTGATTGGATTTGTACGGAGCTCGATTTTAACCCTCAACCACTAACTTAAAACGAAAACTTTGAGCGACTTGGCAGACGCATTTATTAAATGTGTGTGAAAAATATTTAAAATGTTTGTATCCAAGGAATGAGCTTTCTGTTTATCATAATTTCATCCATAGGAAGCGATCTGTGATGTGATGGAGCAAACTTGCCTAGAATCGTGCTCTTGGGACTCATGAAAAAGGGGGATTTTCAAATGTAGATAATATAAGAACTAAACGATATTATTATCCCAACTAATATTATAAATGCGAAAGTAACTCTGTCTGTCTGTCTGTCTGTCTGTCTGTCTGTCTGTCTGTCTGTCTGTCTGTTACGCTTTCCCGCTTAAACCTCGCAACCGATTTTGATGAAATTTGGCATAGAGATAGTTTGAGTCCCGGGAAAGAACATAGGATAGTTTTTATCCCGGTTTTTGAAACAGGGACGTGCGCGATAAAGTTTTTCTGTGACAGACAAAATTCCACGCGGGCGAAGCCGCGGGCGGAAAGCTAGTTATTATTATAAATCGAGAGCCTCTTAGACTGGAACATTACCAATACGGTTAAAGGTAAAACCAAACGTAAGGAAACTAAAAAAATAAAATCTGACCAAAATACTTCGGTGTTCCCTGCGTAAATTAGTGACGGTGTCTGCCGTCGGTTGTGGGGGCGCTGCTGCGCGCCCGCCCGTGTAATGGCCAGCGAACGGATGGGCCGATGTGCACCTTTATAAACTTGATCATTTTCAACTTTATTGATGGAACCAATCAAAGTTTTCAGTAGAAAGAAGTGCCTCTACTTTTGCGATTTTATTTTTACTTGCTTACACTTACATGAGCTGATGGTGATAGATAAGTAAGTAAATAACGAAAGCTTCAACAAGAAAATTAACTTAACTAAACTTTAAAATTTAAATAATAAATATAATATTATGTAATAAAATAGTAATCATTTCTTCTACATACTTAATTTTGTTTTCCTCATTCCTCGCTACGAATTATAAAAATAAATAATTTGTCACTTGGCCGAATTCACTACTTTGGTCAAACTTTTCGTTAAAAGGAATCAAAATCAAAATCAAAATCAAAAAAATATTTATTCAGTTTAGACCACAAGTGGAACTTATGAACGTCAATAGAAAATAATAAAAAAAGAAAAGGTAGCCCTTATGGGGCACTTTACATGTCTCCTTATCTTTCTTCTTCTTCTTCTTCTTCTTTTCTTCTGCTTCTTCTTGAATCTTCATATTTACGAGTTAATATTTTACCCATAATTTTCTTCCATAGGTAAACAAAAGAAAACAATAACAAAGGCAAACCCAACAAAATACGGAAGGTAAAAACGCGTATAATGGTCGGTGTGCTAATTACCATCGTATTTCTACTGTCCACTTAATAAACTCATTTAAATCGCACATTCGCTGGCAAACATTGTAAACGCGACAATTCAGACCAATCGGTTTTAATTTGTAATCCGGCCCGGAGATTAAACGGCGACCGGTAAATACGATGGCCGGATTAAAAGTTAACGGTTCATTTAACCGGCTCCCTAACGGAACAGATTATTTTAATGCAGCTAAATAAGTTAAAATTGATTTTAAACATTTTAAAACTAATTATCCTGCTTTCGCCTCCGAGATTTATTTTACCATGTAGTACCCCTGTACGACAACCCAATCCGCACACAATATTCAGCGTAGTAGTATTAAAAAAACAAAAGCGCGGGCAACCCCACCCCTACCACGCTGTGGGCTCGGTGTCCGAGCGGTCTCATTCCTTTGTGCGCACGCGCAACGACCGCACGCAGTATAAGAAAAATGCTTAAGTGACGTCACCAGGANCGGTAAAAGACCATGTATAGACATCTCAGTGAGGAAATTAGAAGATCTTGGATCATCACTTCCATCTTTTATGTCCACATTAAGATCGCCGGTCACAGCCAGCGTTTTGACATTTTTAAGTTCATATAGTGTCTCATGTAATGACTGTACAAAATTATCAACATTATGTACAGATGGGGATCTGTAAATAGCTACCAATGCGCAAATGTCACCAATCCTCACAACAAGTCCATCGGCATCAGCTAATTTAGGTTCATATACAGACGCCTGTATAGTTTCGCTTATATATATTACAACTCCACTATTTTGGTTTATGTATTTAGATGATGCAAAACGAGTATAGTGCGGAAGACTAGGCAAGTTAGGCGCATGAGGTAGCCAGCACTCCGTCAGAACGATAATATCGAATTTTATATTAAGTCTTGTTATATAAGTTATGAAGCCATCAAAATTACATGCTATGCTACGAATATTTTGAACCACTACGTTAAGCGCTCCAGAGTTCGGGTCTAGCAGGTTTCTACACATATCAGGATTGTCGACAGGAATCGCTCGACCAACACCGACATTGGTATCAATGTCAGTGCTGATAAAATTTATATCATTTGCCATTGTTCCTGCGAGATACTAAATAAACGGTAACTTTGTGTGGTATGCGTAAAGCGACCCGGTCTGACAATCCATGATAATATGACATTAATAAATGAGCACATAAGAAACCAAAACCACTGATTAAGCAAAAGAGGCAATAGTTATCAGCACTAAGATTTCGAGGTTCATAAGAGGCAATATACAGAGATAAATTAAATAGCAAATAATAATATGATATATAATATGAATGATAAAATAGGATAAATATTATATTATTGATAATACTTACTGCACATGCATTTACAGCATTAGTTGACACAATTTTCAGCGTAGCAAAACTTAACGATACATAAAAACCAAATAACAAAACACAATAATTAAGTAGAATAAGTCCTTCACTTGCCACCGGGCATAGTCAGTCCTGTTTGCCTTTGCCTGCAGCTTGCAGCTTGGCTTCTTCCAGGTCTTCCTGTCTAGTTACCACAATTGCAGGTTCACCTTCTGATTTTCTTAAGAGCACAACCCCTTTAGAGATCCAGCAGAACTTGAACAAACCATCCTTGACGAGTTTCTTAGCCGAGCTTAGTAGAATTTTTGTTCTTGGTGTTAGCATTTCAGAGACATAGATTGGCACTCTCAATGTGCTGAGACCCAGGTGGTTGGTATTCAGTTTATTATCTTTATTTTTATTATTAAAGGTCTTATTATAGTTCTTATTATAGTCTTATTATAGTCGTAAAAACTAGCAATTTATATAGTAAATATAAATTGCTAGTTTTTACGACTCTCCCCAATAAGCTTTATAATTTACGAGCAACAATGGGCTTTAGTGGCATTATTATTGCATTATCCGACCCCAAATCTGTTTGTGCCATCCGTCAGATATCATCTATGGGCCCGCACGCTATAGCCTGATTTTGATTAAAAACAAAATAGCAAACCAAATTGCTTTGTCGCATGATGTTGCAAAGTTTGGAAAGACAACGAAATAAAAACTATCATATTTACTTACAGTTCTGTAGGCAATATCAATATCAATCTCATATCAATTTCCTAGAAAGATATTAATACCTATAGTATTATAATAAAAAGGTTTTAGTAATTTTGATGAAAACGACTTCGGGGAAGGTTGTATTTGACATCCCGTTCTGTTACTAGGTCAGATAGACGTTATTAGAAAACTCTTTCAACGCGACGTAGTACTTTAGTGGCTCTACTCAGGTCCGAAAATTACCTTTGGCGTGGCCTTCAAAGGATCATTTTGTCACGGGCTTGTTCCACAAAACGGCGCTCGCTGCCTTTATACAAAGTTAGGTGATTCGCCTTTGCAAGGGGTTCGAATGACGGGCTGTAGTTAGGAGTCACGACTAATAAATTGAGTGAAAGGGATTTTTTAATTTGGTTAGTTAGGAACGCTGACATTAACGAAAAGGTTATTTTATTTGAAAGTCCTGTAGCACGTGCCATTTTATGAAATTGTTTCGATTTCAAACTTAAATTGACAAATTGCGTTTTAATGTGTTTTTAAAAAACCTCCATATCATTCAATCTAAGTGTTACTTACACGAAATCCATATATGAGACATCGGGCAATCCATCAGGCCACGATAATAGGCACGCAGTTTTGAGGGTGCCCTTCGATCTGAAACAAGGTTTGATCAGTTAATTAAATTGCAATGTACTTGCATACATAGTTACTACTTCACTAGCACACAACTCGAGGAGGTAAGAGGCCTATTGTCGGAGGAAAACAAACTTTGCCTACCACTTCAGCAGACCTTGGCCTAACTCAAGTATAATATTATTGTAGTTAAACTTGGAAGTTACTAAGAAAGTTATTAAAGTTTGATTTATCAGAAAATACTAGTAAATCGTTTCTACTAAACCTGTCGTGTCAACAAAGTGTCGTGTAAAAAGATTTAAAAAATATTACAGTATGCGACATGCGTGTTCCAAAATGTGGTCTTGGCAATTTTTTTCCAATCCCGAACTAAGAAGCTTAACGTTTTTTTTTTACTTTTCACCCAATTACTGGTATTTTCCAGGCTCTAAATCAATCAAGGATTAAAGTTCCGTCGGTAAATTAGTTTAGAAATGTCAAAAAAACAGGCTTTCAAAATATTCCGTTCCATAAATGTTTTCCTAGGAATAGCTTTTTTTGCCTCTATGAATTTCAATTTTTCAGATTGGGATGTTAATATAATTTACCTTCGATTCCAAGAGTCAACTTTTTATAAGAAATTTTAGATTGGATAAATAATTAGTTAGGTATTTAAGGTATTTTATGGGTAGTTATTTTATATTCGTAAATAGTTTTAGATAAGATACCAACGAGATAGCGTGTAGGTCTCACTGATAGTTCGAATATTACGCCAATATGAGAATTTACGTGTCAGCATGGTGTTGAAGGATTAGATGATTATGACTCGAATTTTTTAATCGGAAAACAAAGTTAATTTCAAGTAATATTATATTAACATTACTAAAGTAAAAGTATTTTATGGCCTATCTGTTATCTAAACTATATACAAGTTAATTCCAAGCCATAAAATCGTTATTCCTTAATGCTCAAAGTCTTTTGTAAGTGATGAGGTCGTGTGGAAATCATAAAACGATATCTTATAAAAAGTGGAAGAGTCGTGACTCGCAAAATCTAGTCCCTTAAAAACGTATTTTCCTTTTCAATAAAGAATCTAATATTTATTCAACCTAATCCAGGGCTTCCTAGAAAAACGGCTCGAATATTTCTCGATAGCTGAAGGTTCTTTTTACATTGAAATGCGAGATCCAACTTGCAAGCTTCTTAAGTCCTTTGTTCCGATGAAAATAATATAAAAAGTGACAGGAAATGGATTGACTGAATGAATTGGGTAAGAAATTATACGAGCAAGATTGCATTTTTATGGCAGAATTTCTATTATGACGGTAAAATAAAGTTTCTCGTTTAGAATTTATCACTCAAATGCCACACTACTCAGAAAAATCATTCATCATTATTCATAAAATAAGCTTTAAGGTCTAGATTTTTACTTTGGTACCTACTCATAAATCTATGTTTAAGTATCATAACCCGCTCGAGATGTATTTAATTTTATTGAAACCTTGAATTATATTAAGTTCTGATTTAAGCGTATCAGTAATACATAAAAATCTGGGATGACTGAGTGAGTTTGGTGTTATGCTAAAAGTAAGAAGTTTTTTAAATAATAATATTTTGGTGTCTATATATTACACACGATATAATTTAACTACGAGTAAGTATGATACATACTGACAGTGTAATAGATTAAACGATACTCCACAAGGTCTCGGTAAACGTTTTTTTACTGTTGTGATGTTTTTGACATCTTTGATCATGTAACCTTTTAATACGCGTCTTTTGTAATTCTGTGAATCTTTATTCAGTGAGTTTTCGTTTTACTAAAACATTATATTGTTTTGGAGTATTAGTAACGGGATTTTAAGGTGATTATTTTAGGGAAACTAATTATTATAAAGCTGAGACTTTGACACCCCGTATTAGTCGGTTTCTAGGAATAGATACATAAGAGAAATGTTACTAATTTGTTAAAAAAACATTACTCCTACATATTTATAGAAAAAACATCTTCGTGGAAGCACTCAACATATTTTTATTTCTTCTGCTAAACTAAAATACTTATTGTGTTAATGTTTTTCCGTCAGTAAAACCAGATGGCTAGCCTACGTGGGCCAGATTTTGAGTGGGAGTAAAGATAATTTGAATTAGATTAAGAAGAAAATATTTAAGTAAGTTTTTGGGTTATTTTTCTCCAGCAAACAGCTGAGTATTTTCTTCGAAAACCCAAGTTTTCTTTAATAAAATAATATGTGTGGGTAGCAGCTACGATGTTTTACATGTACCTATTGTTATTTTTTTTTGCACAAATCTCTGTGTTCCCCTTTTTACTCACTGAGATTATAAATAATTAAAGAGCGTTGTCCTATAATATTTACAGTCAGTAGATCATGAAGAAAAAAATGTTGGAACTAAATTAAAAGGTTGTTTTCTTTGTTAGTATTTAATTTTATTGTATTTCCCAGCTCTAAATGAGGCTTACTCTATCAACTAGTGCTGGTGGGCGTGTAAAAGTAAATTATGCTTTTTATTTTAAAATCGCTTGGTTTTAAATGATTTTGCTAGCGAGAGGCTAGCGGAGTAGGGTAATTGACAATTAGGCTCTTCAGTAAGTTTATTACCATAAAGTCAGACATAGCACGGCATATTTATGTCACGTTCTAAGCATATTTTTTATTTGTCTTGTTTTATATCACGCACTTATTTACCGTGACGTGTAAAAAATACTTTCATTATACCAACAGTTACAATTTTATTAAGTTTCTTATAGGTCTGAGCTTTAGAAAATTGTTCCTGTGTCTATCTTCTTCTTCTTTTTATCGTGTCGACAACAAATCTACACAGTGTCAGACCAAAACTCCGCCACAAGAGTGGCGTTGTCAGCAGCATTCATTAAATCCTCCTGGTTGCGTGCAGTTGCTCGGGCACTCAGGGTACGACATCAACCTGTATCTATGATTTTAAGGTAGACATTTTATGTACATTACCTGTATTCCTTAGTAGTAGAGTAGAGTAGACAGGGTATAGCTAGCAGCATCCCGCTGACCCAGATCCCAGCAATCATGATGAGGGAGCAGGTTTTGGACATGCGCGGCCGCATCGGCCTGACGATGGCTTGATACCTAGACAAATGACATCAAATTAGCACCTTAAGGCGATAAGAATCCTCAATCCGCGTCAAATGGGCATTTTGTAAAAGCCTTCTCCTCTTTTACTGCTGGACTCTAATCGCCTTAATATGTAACATAATTTTCTACTGAAGTTTATTTCAAACTAGCTTTCCCCCCGCGGCTTCGCCCGCGTGGAATTTTATCTGTCACAGAAAAACAATACCTATCGCGCGCGTATTTGCTCACCGTTTAGACCTACCCTGGACTACGACAAACATTTTAAAACCAAAATCAGCTCAATCGGCCCTGCCGTTCTGGAGTTTCAATCAGACTAACGAACAACAATTCATTTTTATTTATATAGAAGATTAGAAGCACCATTCAGTAGCTTATTTTAATTTACTTTCTTTAAGCCTTGATTTGTTTGATGCCGGTTGTACACCAAGAGCTAAACTACGTTAGCACGCATAGCTGACGCAGTTTATTATAGTTGTGTGCAAACTGCAAAACTGCTTAAGCTAAGCTAAACCAACTTAGCTTTTCTCTTGGTCTGCAACCGGCATAAGAAGGCAATAGTAGAGGCGGTTCTTTCTTTTTGATGTTGATTTGATAATTTACTCAAGCAAGACTCCAAGGTGTCTAAGGTAAATAATTTTTATCCTTCAATTAGTCCCTACTTCAGTCTGAATCTTTTCAAACTTTGTCACAGTCACGATGTCAATTAATTAGTCTTAAGTTCTTAACTAACCTTTCACTTCGTCTAACTTGATTTACTTAAAAACTTTAACTTTTATTTACTTAGTTTCATTTCACACTATTAGCTTAAACATTTTTTTTACCAAATCAACCAAACTTTAGATTTGTAACCTGATCAATCGTCTCGAAAAAAAAAATTTTATTTGTAAACAAATTATTGAAAACATCTTTGTTTTTCTCATCTTACCGTAAAAGGCACGCACATTTTTTATTGAAAAAAAAATCTAATTCAATTTAGAATCTGTTTTCACGTTCAATATTGTCAATTTGAAGAAGGGTTTTTCGAAAATTAATTTCCCTGTCATTTCTCAAACAAATTGCTGTACGAAGGGGAAGGGATACATTTCGAACTCGTACCTATTTATTTTATGGCCTACAAACCTCAAGTGTACACTTACGCTTCTTTTAGGCAGATTTATGTCGTTATCGATAAGTTATTCATACAACACATTATCTAAAGTATATCGTAACTATAAAATAATCGTGACAGTGAAATACGATAAATCATCATAAATACCTACAATGTTACCTATTTCCGCCAATATTAATTACTTGCCAAATCATGCGGTAATAGTCACGACAGAAATAATCTAATAATACGTCTAAATGAACACGTGGTAGGAATTTTTTCCTCGTATTATGTAAGAATAATAATAAATTACTCATAAACGTGTTGAAACGTGACAAATGACTGTGGTATTAAAAATTACTGAGACCGGTAACACTCTTATTTACCTAGCCCCAAACTATGGTGATCAAGTAAAGGAAAATGTTATTTAATCGGTTAAAGTAGAGGTTGAATTTAAAGTAAATAAAAAAATTCAACTCTAGCTAATGCTCATCCTGCTAACATTTGCTACGAAAGTTAAAATTGCCAAACGCATTCTCGATAATTTTATCGGTCCATGAGAATATGGATAAAGTGACTTTAAATGAAGAAATAAATACCCCATTTGGAATAGACTTCAAACTGACGATCATAAAACATAATGGCGTCTTGGTCTTACTTCTAAATTGTTTTCCACATTTGAAAAACATCAAACGATCGTATGATTTTGCGTTAAAAGTAACATGAGAAATGATTTATTAGAGCTGCCTAAATGAAACTTAAAGACATTCCAGACTCCTTTGGAAACACGCATAGACATTTTTTATTTGTCTAGATCTAGACCTCATCAAAATGACAGTCAAAGGGATACAAGAACAAAATATTACGCAGCGTTTCAATAAAACTTTGAGATGTTGAAATAGGTACTATTTTTGTTCCTAGTTCCTTTGCTCACGTTTTATTTGCTCTGTAATTCATTATTAAGACTGTTTGTCAAATATTGTAAATTAATATCTGATAAGGCACAAATATCAAATACAACTAACTATGTATCGACTATGTATGTTGGCATAACAGGTTTTTAATTCCATGAGTTTCCAACCTCAAACGGACAGCTTTATCTTTTTCTATCAAATAAAAAGTAACCTGTTTGCCCCAGGCATTGGATGTACACTGGTAGGTTTAGGCTCAATTCACACGTAAAGTTTTGTCAGTTGCTGAATTTAAGGAATTTTGTAAGCATCTGTTTATACATACTATCAGTACCTCTAGTATGAACAACTTTCGTCTTCGAATCGTTTGTGTACTCGATAAAATTCGATACTCAATCTTCGAATTAAACGATAACGTGACAATTTTGATTCTCAAAATAAGTTTCGTGCAACCACATCTCATACTAAGTTCACTTTACGACACGTTCACAAGGGCGCTGTTGTAGTTTTCTTACTTAATCTTTTGATGGCGATTCGAGTACGCAAACGATTTGAACTCGAAAGTTTTTCGTGCTAGCCGTACAGATCCAAGAGTTTCTCGTGTCCATCGTACTAAAAATACGTCGTAGCTACGTAGTAGAGGCTCGTAGCATTGTAGCATCATACTTGACTGTTAGCATCTACGAAAGAGCAGCAAACTACGGTCGCTTACAGTCGATTTCATCATTCATTGAGTTTGATTGCCTTATGGTATTGAAACCTCCCAATATAGATTCTGTTCATGCTTTTACATGTGCGGTCGTAAATCAGTTTTATGGACTAAAAATAAATTGCATCTACCAAGAGTTTACTTTTAGTATCGTTTTACCTGAAATAAACTTAACGTTTGTTTTTTTACAGCCAAGGAACACCCGGTGGGGCTATGAAAAGCTAAGGGATATAATTATGAGCTTAAAATAGAAAACAATTTCGTTAGTAATAAGTTTGATGTGCCTACAGTATAGAGGATAAAGATATTTTTAGGACGACTTGGAATTTGGTCAAGGAGATTTCATAAAGTTAATTAGATAAGATTAATGTGATACTTAATATTAATATTATTTTCAAACTAACAATAAATCGCTTTCTCGAATTTTCAAGGGCTGAGTTTTCTCATAGAGTAAGGAAACTTCTTTTCAAGCCCAGCAATTTATAAGCTCAAATAAGTTAGAGTAAAGTAATTTTCACGAGCGATTTTGGAATAAACAGTTTGTCATATTTTTGTATTGTTACAGGAACTTTCGCTCTTCGATTGATGTACAGAAGGGTTTTTGTATCCAATCCCCCTTTACACGAGTAGGTTTTATGTAATATCTTACCCTTCCGCTTTTTATTACGATATTTTCATCTAGTGGGAAATCATAATGGTAAATAGTCAATAGTCAATATCTTTATTGCATTCCATGTTGTACATAACAATAGTGATACACATCCACAACACCACTTTTAAAAAGGTCATTTATTAAAAATAGTTATCAACCTAATGGAGTGCTTAAGCTAGTTAATTTATTCTAGGGCACCCCTTTAATTTCAATAAATAGCCGGGATAATACATACCCAGTTAACGATTTAATAGCGTAGTTAGCCTTAACGGCGTCCCTTATGTTAAGTCGTGTATGCCATCTATAGTAACTTCTAAAACTCATACCATAAACTAAAATAAATGTGAATCGCTGGGACATGTTACACGATGGCACTAATGACAGCTTGCAGTAATGTTTTGAGCCATTGCAATTAAATGTCAATAAAATAACACAGGAAAAGGTATGAAATATAAATATAAATCAAAGTGTAAAAATTATTTTAAAAAGCCTACTTGAAAAAATACAATGAATTTTAAAAAAAGTAGTTAATAAATGATTAGATTTGCTTTGATCGCTTTATGGGGTATTAAAAATAAGCTTATCCCCCATTAATCAGAGGAAATGGGATCATGTGAACATGGGAAAAGTTAGACACACTGTTAAAAGGATTGCTTTGATATCAGGATTACGAGTTTCGTTAATGTTTTTTTTAAATACCGGTTTATATTTTGGTGAAAATTTAAATTGAGTTTGGTTTTGTAAGACCTTTTCATAAAGAAGTAAATTTTCTGATAAATCATGGTGCCACGATAACAATATATCAAACGTGTCAGGCAGCGGTTGAAAAATAATAGCGGAGGATTGAGTTTAGCGGCATGTATACAGGGTGGAAACGATAAGTGATCTCACTCGATTATTTCTAAACTATACAAGAGAGTGTACTATATGTCAACGCGAAATTGTGAACTCCGTCAGTTTAATAACGCGTGATATTGTAAACTAACAGTGGGTTAGGTTAGGTTAGATTGTAATGTAACTACGTCAGATTATAATCTGACGGAATTCACAATATTACGGTGACATATATAAGTATCCTGAAAGTGCTTCATGAGCTCTATCAAATGGTGTAATACTTGGGTTATTGAAGAAACTGGATCTATCCAAAAATTCAATATTTCCTTCATACTTACCAGTTTTACGATATCTTGTATAGTTTAGAAATAATCGAGTGAGATCACTTATCGTTTCCACTCTGTGTAGTGAGGTTTATGTTTTGCAGTGCTTGGATAGAAAATTCCTGATACCTATCAATATTAAGACTGGCATTTACTTAGGTGATATGCCTAACACCTATGTATTGTGTGATATTTATTTATTTTATTCGTTGAAATTTTGTTTACGCTTACGCTACGCGATTTTATGTACTAAGCTTCACAAAGCGTTTTGGTTATACCAGTTAATACATATTACAAAGAAATCTCAAATAAACGAAACAGATGAGAATTTGAATTCGTTTGTAAAATTCCATGAGCAAATGAATTTGAAAATCTCAGAGCATTTGCCCAGAACAGTGGACGAGGCCGAATACGGACTGTAGAGATCCTGAGAATGTGTTCATTTTATCGAGTTTCAATTGGCCTGTATGTGGTATTCGCTCGTAATTGCCTTTGTTATAATGCCTGTAGCTATCATTAGTTTTATTTACTAGCAAAACATGGAAATAAACAACACCCTTTGATAATGAAACATACTCACTTAAACTGATTGCTGTTATGATTGATTGTAGTAGTTGTTTATTAGAAGATCGTAGGTTGTCTATTGTTTTCGATTGAGTAGAGAAAAACTAGCTGAATGGAAAAATACCACTTGTTAGGTATAAGCACTATGTAAGAAACCTTAATTGTGCCTTAAGACAAGGATTCGTGTAATGTTATACTAGGTAATTAATTAGTGTGTGACGGTTTAGAGGAGGCTTATACCCGTTTTCACCATCAATCCCTGATTTTAAGTGACCCCCTTGAAAACAAAATTCCTGTTATGTGTTACCATAGGGGTCACTTAAAAATTAGGGATTGATGGTGAAAACGGGCATTAATCTCTCTTAGAAAGGGTGTCTTTGAGTATTGTTTTATGACTATTAAGTAACACAAAGTGTTACCGTAACCGTGTCTTGGCTAGTCTTTGTTCAATTTTAGCAGAGTGTGATAAAAAGACAGTAAACTGTTCGCACGTACGCTCACGTACTTTAATGAATACAGGCTCTCAAAGTAACGCCGTAAAAAGTACAAGAAAGGGACCCAGATCTCGGCTGTCATTCAAGTCAAGTAATAATAAATAATAATATTTTGTGCCAGATACAGTTTACGAGTTGACAACCGACACTTGTTTCGCCATAACAAGGTTTATGTGCTCTCGGGACAACGCGTGTGCCTTAAAACATTTTGACTGCTCCGTGATGCTGTGCGTGCTAAGGAATTTAAGAACTATATCCGTCAATGGCAATATTTATGCTCTACTAGCGGCCGCCCGCGACTTCGTACGCGTGGATCCCGTTTTACCCCCTTCATCTATCTTACGCTGTTTAGATTTTTTCATTCAAATATTTTTTCCCACTAACTCCCGTTCCCGTGGGAATATTGCAATATCCTGTTGTATCTAAGCTTTAAGTTTACTAAGGTACCTGCATGCCAAATTTCAAGCGTCTAACTTAAGCGGTTTAGATTTTTCATACAAATGTTTTTTCCCGCTAACTTTCGTTCCCGTGGGAATTTAGCAATATCCTGTTGTAACTAAGCTCTAAGCTTACTAAGGTACCTGCATGCCAAATTTCAAGCGTCTAACTTAAGCGGTTTAGATTTTTCATACAAAAGGATTTTCCCGCTAATTCCCGTTCCCGTGGGAATTCTTAAGTATCCTATAACCTGCCCAGGAGTATGAAAAATAATTGTACCAAGTTTCGTCAAAATCCGTCGAGTAGTTTTTGTTTCTATAAGGAACATACAGACAGACAGACAGACAGACAGAAAGACAGACAGACAAAAATTTTACTAATTGCATTTTTGGCATCAGTATCGATCACTAATCACCACCTGATAGTTATTTTGAAAATATATTTCATGTACAGAATTGACCTCTCTACAGATTTATTATAAGTATAGATATAGATGACAGTGTGTCAGTAAGAGCCAGTAAACCATTTTATCATAGCACCACCAGCAAATACCAATTTGTTGTGTCATTTAACAGTAAGTATGTGCAAACAAATGAACTCATGGAAATGTACGTGGTCTATTTCTAAGAAGTTTTATAATGGCTTAATCCATTGAATTAAGTTGAATTACATTTAAGAATAATTTTACGGTGTTACGTGTAATTTGTAAGTCTTTAACATTTAGTTAATTAGTCAAATTACTCATTAAACTGAGAATTAGAACGTGTGCCTAAACTTTGTCTCCTACAATTTCACTTTACTTTCTTCGTGACGTCTTCATAAGACTTGGATATGTAAAGTACATACTAAGAATCCATTATAAGCATTTCAGAAAATCAGTAGGGGAGACCAAGGTGAGTAGTAACAGAGGAAAGTTGTGACATTGTCGATTTTTGGAAACCTATTAACTATTAGCGAGCTCGTAACAGTGCGCATTTGTTAGCTCGAGACTTGTCACAACTATCCTTTGTAACAACTCACTTCGGTAACCCCATAAAAGTGTCTCTACCCAGAATATGGGTATGAACTATGGAGCGTAACAAATGGAGGCTAATTTGTCAGGAGGGTCAAGTGGTCAAGACCCTGCAATAAGGGATTAACCAAAGACTGGCGTTCAGAAAAGGAAAGGACTGAAATGTTGACCGCATAGTATAATTATATGTAGTTACTGAGTAGAAAATTTAATAGTTTATCCACAATTAACACGCTTTTCCATAAATCATAGTGGTTTTTACGTATTATGGCATGTAAATTATTTATTTATTTCAGGTACAGTCACAGTGTGTAGAACATCACACTTATTAATAGAAAATAAATACAGCCGGAAATCAATTTTCAAAACAAACATAAAGTACATACCTACTAAAAATAAAATACATATTCCTATTGGATTGCAATCCCCTTATTTACTTTGGAGCGCCAATAAAATATTATTCGTAAAATAAGTTGCACCAGTGTGAACGGGAAATAGGATTTTTCCTGCTTACCTACGCAATTTATTGAGAGCTGCGCCAGTCTTTGAATTTTGTTTCCATATATCTAGCCTACAGATATTTTATGTAGGTCTGACGGAACATAAAAATGGAATCCAATACAACTTTTCATGCTTCCTACCTAACAATCTTGCCAAAATTACTCTATTTACTAAGTTGGCTGGTGAAAATTTACCAGTTTACTCAAGTAAATTATGTAAAACCTTATCTTAAAGTCTAAAGGAACGTGCCGGTTCCTTGATAACTTGTTTTCGTCTAGAAACGTATAACGCTTTTCCAGAAAACTTTTGTGTATCAATATCTGTCATTTCAGTATATTCCAATAAGCGAATTCTTATTTCCTTTGTCCAACCATTTGGGGTATTTTAACGTGTTCTCAAGAGATATCAACGTCAATAACCATTTAGAAATGTGCGATCAGTATTTTCTGTTTGTTTTGCTTACTTCTAAAGGTACAGTTACATGCTCTTATAATATCATGCTTAAAACAAGCGTGCTCGAACAATTAAAAATGAGCATGCTCATTATTAGATATGTTTCGACACACATGTTACTAAGTAGCAATTCCTCAATATTGGCATGATTTAATGAAATGAGCATGTATACCTTATTAATTAAATACTAGCTTTTCGCCCGCGGCTTCGCCCGCGTGGAATTTTGTCTGTCACAGAAAAACTTTCAAATTTCATCAAAATCAGTTCAGTGGTTTAAGCATGAAAGTAAGACAGACAGAGTTACTTTAGCATTTATAAATATTAGTATAGAAGTATAGATAGTCAAACCAAACCAGGCAGACGACTCTATGTAGAATAGCGAAAGTCAACCCAGCTGACATAAATTACCACTTCATGTAGGTAGTTTATCGACGAACCTTGTCCGCTTGATATAACTAGAATTCAGTGCTGCCCTGGCCTACCCGCACTTAACACAGACTATATTTTATGCAGACTCTAATGTTACCTGTCAAAAGAGATGCCGGTGAGTGTAAACACGCTCGCTGCCACCGTCACGTTGGCGATAAAATTGCTGAGCTGGCAGTACCGGACGCCGAACACCCAGTCGCTAGAACAAAGAAAATCCATTAATATTGCCGCAAAAAACACTGGAAAATAAAGCCTTAATGTTATAGTCGACAATCTAATATTAATCTTTATTTTCATTTTAAAATTGTGTTGTGAATACCTTGTCGAGTTCAACGTGCGCGATATATCAGAAGCTAGACGACAATATAGCCGCGAAGATGATCATATTTCATACATTTTTCTCCCATGTTTGCGGTGGCGCTAATGGCGAAACACTCGTTATTGCTAGACACATTTATTATAGCGCTTTATTACACCAGGAATGCCACTCTACAAAACTTTCAACGGCGTTAAAATCAAATTGATTGTTAAAGTTCTCGTTACTTTCGTTGCCTCTTTGCGAGCGTTAACCAAAGTTTCGAACTTGAACTCTGATGTTGTAATTCAAGGGTTTCTTTAGACTTAAGATCTGAATTTAAGCTTGTGAATTATCACGGAATAACAACCGCACAACAACACTGAAAATTGTTCAGAAGTTCGAATAATCTGATAATTCGCTTTAGTAATTAATTTTAAATTCATGAACTACCCATATTAAAATTTTACATTCTAAAAACTGATTACCAATGTAATTGTCAATCTAGTTGTCTCTCTCTCTCTCTATCAATCAATATGTTGAAGTTGTGATTACATTTTCATACTGTTCTGTAAAAGTAATGACAACACTATTATACACTTGCGAGCAAAAGTATGGAATCACTTACTACTAACCAATTTGTTAGTAACAAAAAAAGTAGCACCATTTTAAAGATTAAACTTTTAACTTTAAATTGATACCAAATTCATTTAAATCACACCAGTATTTAAAAAGATATCCCGGCTGATGTGATGAAGTAAGGAAAAGGACATGTATCAACTGTTTGATACGTCGCGAGTTGCGGCCTATTTACCCCCCATAAAAGTAAGTGTTTTCGGATTTTTGCTTTCACACGTTGATCCATACACATCTCCGCTTCTTTTGACACTTTACCTGGGATTCTACACCTTCAGAAGCAGCACAAATCGTTGCACTATTGCAAGAAGGGCTCAGCCAGCGGGCTGTCGCACGTCAGCTCCACATAAGCCAGTCCTGGGTTTCGAAAGTTTTAAGACGCTTTCGGGAGACTGGTGGCTTTATCCCGAGACCAAGTTCTGAACATTGCCGGTGCACATCGCAGAGGGAAAACCGTTTTTTCATGTCAACTTCTCTACGAAATCGTCATTTGACTGGTATCGACGTCCAGCAAGAGCTCAGAAATGTTCGTAGGATAGCTGTTAGCAAGTGGACAGTTTGTCTAAGATATAAACAAAAGAATTTGACTCCAAAAAGGCCTGCCACAGGCTTGAAACTGACGGCAGGTCACCGATAAGCAAGCTTTCAATTTGCTCCTACACATCTCGATGGGAAGTCGAGCAAGCCACCCCCATAAGCCAATGTTTTAGCGAACCAGCACTGCACAAATCGCTCCCCAGGCCGTCTATAGACCCGACCTCTTCGACTGCTGCACTGCAAAAACAGTCTGCATTCATCGGAGAACAAAACTCGCCTCCATTACTCGCCTTCCGAGTGCGACCTAATTGAAAGCGTGCTTGTCGGTGACCTGCCGTCAGTTTCCAGCCTGTGACAGGCCTTTTCGGAGTCAAATTTTATTGCTCATATCTTAGACGAACTGTCCACTCGCTAACAGCTATCCTACGAACAATTCTGAGCTCTTGCTGGACGTCGATACCAGTCAAATGACGATAGAGAGGTTGACATGAAAAAACGGTCATCCCTCTGCGATGTGCACCGGCGCTGTTGAGAACTTGGTCTTGGGATAAAGCCACCAGTCTCCCAAAAGCGTCTTAAAACTTTCGAAACCCAGGACTGGCTTATGTGGAGCTGACGTGCGACAGCCCGGTGGCTGAGCCCTTCTTGCAACAGTGTAACGATTTGTGCTGCTTCTGTAGGTGTAGAATCCCAGGTAAAGTGTCAAAAGAAGCCGAGATGTGTATGGATCAACGGGTGAACGCAAAAATCCAAATACACGTGCTTTTATAGGGGGTAAATAGGCCGCAACTCGCGACGTATCAAACAGTTGGTACATGTCTTTTTTCTTACTTCTTCTCATCAGCCGGGATATCTTTTTAAATACTGGTGTGATTTAAATGAATTTGGTATCAATTTAAAGTTAAAAGTTTAATCTTTAAAATGGTGCTACTTTTTTTTTACTAACAAATTCGTTAGTACACAAGATCGCGTGGAAACAACTTCATGTAAGTGATTCCATACTTTTGCTCGCGAGTGTAGTTAATCACCTCTTCAAATAAAAATAGTAAAGCGTATACTTAATTTACCTATGTAAGCTATTTCAAACTTGTTCGTCGTAGACGATTTAAGCTCTGTTATTTATTGCCTCATCCAAACTAAGCGTTATTTAAACTCAAAGTTCTAAACTGTTTAGTCCGAAACGATAAATATGTAGCTTAATTCGTTGTTTGGGGTAGAAGAAATAAGAAACTAGTTTGGATACCTAATCCTTTATTATTTCCAGCCATTAATGGGCACTTCTTCGAAATTGCATTCTTCGGCTGATTCATATGGACAAATTTCAAATTAAATTTTGGGTCTGTAACATAGACTCGTATGAAAATAGATACACCCAATAACATATATTTGGATGAGGGACTCGTTTTTGTAAAGTAGTTTTCAAGATATCGACGTTCAAATATTTTGTGCCCATATGAATCAGAATTTGTTACATATTAATCAAAAATAGAAATAAAATTTAAAATCTTTATGTACAATTGGCTCTATATTAAGAAAATAATCATATTATAACAAAAACAATGATCTGTTGTTATGAAAAAAATATCAGTTATCAAAATATTACGAGAAAAAAATGCAACGAATTCCACAAAATTCATGAAAAACATTTTTTGAAACTAGTATACATCCATAATATTTTGTCATCATCATAATCATTTCAACCATAGGATCCACTACTGAACATAAGCCTCCCGCAATAATTTCCATAATGACCGGTTGGTAGCGGCCTGCATCCAGCGCCTTCCTGTGAATGAACGTTCTGCACTGAGCTTTCCGGCACGTGGCTTCCACTCCAGAAACTTGCTATCCCATCGGCCATCAGTTCTGCTGCAGAACTTCTGCATACTGTGTCCTGCCCATTAACACTTCAGCTTGCTAAAACATCGGGCTATGCCACCATGCGACTTTAGATAGTTTATGGATCTTCTCATTTCAGATTCGATTGCATAAAAAAAACCAAGCATAGTCCACTGCATAGCAGTGAGAGGCCGCTTTTCAGTACAATATGTCATCACTAATAACACACACTGGATGTAGACTTTCATCTTATGGCACTAAAGTATTTTAGATGACTCTACTCAGCTGTATCACTTATCCAAGCCATCGTTGTTAAGATGTCCACCCACAAGGTGAAGAAGGTGACATAAGCTTATAGAGGTTGTGGCAATGGCAATCAGTTAATCTCGAAATCATTGGAGGCCTATGCTCAGCAGTATATTCTTATGTGCTATGGACTCCATAAGTGTAGCTGAAATTATAATAAAAATAAATAATCGTTGGGCAATTTCATACAGCGCCATTTAGCCACAAAATAAGCAACAAATATGCTTGTGTCTACTCACGGACATTGCCCGCGGGCGGCGTGACCGGAGGGAGCGGCGAGCGTTCGGCGAACGAACGAGCAATGTTCGGTTCGCGAGCGAACATCGAAGAAGACGATCCTGACGCACTCTCTTCAACGACTTTGCACTAAACGGTCTCAATATCATTGTAAATTTATACCGAATAGACAATTAATTGTATACAGTCCACTCTTTCATTTAATTAACTTCCACTACACTCACTATCGAAGTAACACTTGTGTTATGGTTGCTAGCTAAACGGATATACTACTTATTTACTGTTTAAACACATACATTATTCATAGCATAAAAATGATGATGTTTTTTTTATTCATAACAAGACCGCAATCTCACCTGGTCTTAAGTGAGATGCAGTCTGGGATATCATTTTTAGCTAATAAACACTTTTTTGGTGCTTGATAGATCAAAAACTAATTTATTTTATGATTCATATTGGGCCCTGACCATATGAATCACGCATAGATGAATCAGTCTTTTGCCTAAAATCGATCAAAACTCGTCATACATACAGACTACAGTGTTGTCATTTTTCTACATGAATCTATAACCCAAAAGCATCACATGAAAGACAGATTAGATTTTTAATGCAATAATATAATTTTATAAAGTAGGCATTGTAATCAGCATGCCACCTGAACCAAGCACAGATGAATCAAGTATTTGCCTTCGTTACACCGGGTTCTAAGCCAACTAGCTCCACGTCTGCGTTCTAGCTCATCCGTTGCAAGATGGGCTTGCCTCCACGCCAGTAACCAGACTCTCATGATTAAAACCTGACCAGTTATGGTCAAGAACAGCTCACGCCATATGAATCAGTATTTTATGCCGGACACTGCTTATTTATTTTTTGCAAACAAACTAACTTAATTAAAATTATGACGCATTTTTTTTGGAGAAGGACAACTCATTGGCTTTCGAAATAATTTTAATTTATATTGATATATCAAAAGGAAAATGCTACATCAACCATTTTGTTCCGGAAAATGGCTAACGGACACACCATATGAATCAGAGAATCACACTTCAAATATTTTTATTTTGTATAAAGACAGCAATTATGCCAAAAATGTAATTTGCGCCAGATAGGGCTATAGTTAAGCTATACGAAAAAAAATATTGCATGCCATTTTGCTAGTTGGTTACAGAACTATACCCAAAGACATCGAAAATTTTGCCTCCGAAGAAATACCCTATAGGGTAAAAAATCGCGTGCGAACAAAGTTTTGAATTCCGGTACCTTAAAAACAGGAGGCACACGTCTCCTTGATATAATTGTAGGTTGTGGTAAACGATGTTGGTGTAGGATCGCAGCCTTTATGAACAACTGCC